GGAGCGCAGAGGTGGGAGAAGACAAGGTCCAAGATGTTTCCGTTGAAGTGGGTGGTGGATTGTATGCACTGTGAGAGTGTGAAGGAGGAGTTTAGGTGGAGGAGTTAGGATGAGGCCGGGTTGTCGATGTTGACAGGGATGTTTTAAATCCCCAAGGATGATGGTGGGTAGCTCGAAGGAGAGAAAGAAGGGTAGCCAGGCGGAAAAGTCATCAAGGAAGTGGGATACGGGTCCAGGAGGCCGGTAGATTACGGCAATCTTCAGGGGGGTTGGGGAGAATAGTCGGATGCAATTATTATTGCTTATTATTATTTTTATTATTAATATTAATAATAATAAAAATAATAATCAGGATTTATATAGTGCCCGCAGTTTGCGCGGTGCTTTACAATACAGTATAAGTTAATACAATGGAATACACAAGAGTTCGGAGGGCTCTGCTTGTTAGAGCTTACAATCTAATAGATCTTTATGTCATTTACATTACAAATCATAGTCTGTATTGTGAATCAAAACTATTTTTTTGCATGGATTTACTATTGCTGGATGAAGTCAGCCGATCGTCTCTTGTGATTTTCTTCAGTGATCTTTTCACCGCTTTGTTTTAGTATTAGACTAACACTATGCCTCTCCAGGTTTCCCTTAGGCAATGCCAGTCAGACGTATAATTATGATGTTGAGGCAGTAACAATAATACACTCATAATAGTTGATTTCATCTGATGGAAGTTTATTTAAAGTCCCTGAGGAGAGACAAGAACTTTGTACCTAGTTACCTGCTCTTCAGAAAACGTTATTATACTGTATATTTGAGATTGCTGTTACTTAAAATCTAAGCAATGTTCTAGAATATAAATATAAATTAGGCAAATAAAATACAATAATAAAAATGTATTTTAATAATAATAAAATAATTTAATATACTTTATTATAAATAATAATAATTTAATGGCTAATATGTAAGTATTTATATTATAGAATTTACAACAGTCTGAAATAAAAAACACAATTACTAAATACTTACAAATTAGCCATATAATAATGATAATAATATGTAAAGTAAATTATTAAATATTATTATTAACAATAAAATGTATTATTATTATTATTATTATTAGATTTATTTTTTCTATTTCAGGCTGTTGTTACATATTCTATAATTTAAATATTGTATATAGTACTATAATATAATATAAATACTTACAAATTAGCCAAAGATACTACTACTACTAATAATATTTATTATTATTATTATTTACTACTACTGCTAATACCACTGATACATAAAGTATTAGGCACTATTCTATAAATTAAAAACTTACAATGTGGGCAATGACAATGATGTGGTTTTTGTACTTTGCAGCATTATACATGTAAAGGTGCTCAAATTGTATGTAACAATAAATGTATGTACAAAACCATGACACATATGAAGAGGGTCTATCCAATGGACCAGAGCAGGGATGCCAATGTAATGGGCTAATCAGTATTTAGAAATTAGATTAGACAGGAGAACAAGTAGGCAGCTGTAAAGAAGTGGGTTTGTAAGGACAATATTTTACATATTTGGAGGAAATCTGATAGAAAAGGTAAGAAAATTGAAAAGAATAGTGTCAGCCTTAGAGAAGTCTTCTAACTATGTATGGGATGAAGCTTTCAGTGGAGAGGAGATGAACAGGTTAGTATAGTGTCAGAGAATACTATGGCAGGTTAATTACAGAGAAAACAGATTTTTGGGCAGAGGACTAACAAAGGTTTACAATGAGCTAACATTAAATAACAGCCCCGGCCACAGCTCTGCATGGGCGGGGCTAAAACCTCTTTCTGGTTTTTATTGCTGTAAATGTCCTCATGGGGAGATTTCCCCATCACTTACCCAATTATACAGTCATGAGAATTACTCCAAAGGGAAAACAGACAACAATAAAAAGCCAAAGGGGTTCTAACCCATTTCCATGAAACAAACATTCAATACTGTTATAGCACTCTATATGTTGGAGAGATTCTGCTCACGTTTTGCCCCAGTAGGAATTGTAAATAGTATTACCAACCTGGCTAAGGCTCCAATGGTTTCCAGCTGGGATTTGGAAAAGAATACAGAGAACTCTGTGGATACAAGCTGGCCATAACTTTATCTACAGCCTCTCTTGCAAATGGCACTGCATGTCACTAGTTCAGGTGATGTAAGCCAGCCATATGATGTGGATAATGATATTATCACATGACTGGTGAAGATTGTGCTTAAGAGGGGACTTCTCTTGTACCTTTTGTCCAACACCCCTGGTAGTGGTGACAGGGGATGTGAGGGCACATAGTTGCATGAGGACTGATGTTGCAGGCAGTGCCCTCTGATGGATGTTAAGCACAGATGACTGTGGACCACTGGGTAGGGACCAGAGGCTCAAGCACAGTAGCACCCGATCAGTAGGCTGGAAGCTGAGACACAAGCAGAAGGTTGTCAACAGCTGGGCAGTGAATTACTGAGTCAGAAGGCAGAGACAGCATCAGGATACAGGCCAAGGTTAGCAATAGCCGAGCAATAATGTACAGGAACATATGGCAGAGGCAATTTCTGGACAAAGGCCAAGGTCAGTTACCAACCAGGCAGTGAGGACCTGAATCAGAAGGCTGGATGCAGAGTCCAAAATACAGGCTGAGGACACAATGGGTTGACAAGAATACAGAGGTGGGTCAGAGGCAAGCTGGGTTGTTTCAGGTCAGTTCACATATAAATACAGAACTACATAAAGATCGCTCATTAATCTGTCCATGTCAAAATCTACCTTAAATAGGCCATTTGGTGCCAATAACAGTGCTGAGCATGCACTTACCACCTGAGAATTGGGTTAAGATATGAACCTATGACTGAAGCAATGGTTGTTTTCCTGAGCACAGCAAAAAGTGAGGGCCTGGCTATGTACCTAATATACTAATCAACAAGCGGGGGGGGGGGGGTCTGTTGATGGATAAGATAACGTAGGTCACAGTGCAACCTAATAATCATACTGTGTTCAAGTCTTGTCTAGCTACTGTCCAGTGGAATAATAGAACTAGTCTGCTGGTGGTACTTGTAATCCACAAGCAAGGGAAAAGCAATGTAGTTCCTTTGGAAAGAACATGTTTGATGCATACTGTATAGGGGTGGCCAAAGGCATGACCTGAAGGAAAACAGTTTCATGAATACTGTCCCGACAGACTGGGTGGTGGCAGTTTCAGCACAGATCTGTTCTAGAAGTCTCTGCATTGCTCTGGGAGTCAGGCAAGAGGTAACCTCTTTTTATCTGCTCCCCCCAGGCCTGTTAGTCAGTGGCTGGAGATCGTCTAAATGAAGGCTGTACTAAGTAGATATAAACCATAAAAGCTTTCAATGTGCCACATCCACATTTTGCAAATAGAACTAAGAAAAACCTCTAAAATATTTTAGAAGGCATAAAGCGGACTTTATAGGCACCACATGAGACCACCAATAAATTGTAATACAAATTGTATGTATTTTCTTCAAACATTATAATAAAATTGGGCACATATCAGACATCTGTGCCTGAATTAAAAAATACATATGGGGAGTACCCCCAAAACAGTTAGAGCCCCCTCATAAACATGGAATTGGTATAAATATCTACAACATGTTCATATTTTATCCATCTTCAACGGTCAATGCAATTCGCCTTTAGCTTCTTCAGGACCGTGTATTTGAGGAGATAGAAAATTAATACTGTAGAAAACATAATATACATCAATTTTCAATCCACATGTAACAGAAAACCAATAAAAAAGGCTCACATGGGTGGGGTGGATTGCCGAAGGATCCAGATAAAGTCTTACAGGCGAACATAGGGAAACCAAAGGAGATTCCCAATCACTGAGGAGGCACATATCAATACTGGGGCCCCTCAATATCACTATAGAGATATCAATGATAAAACTAGAGTGCTATAATACTTGCTTGTCGGGGGCGGCACATTTGCGGCCGGCTCCCAAATGGACGGGCAGTGAGTGAAGCTCCGTCCATCCGCCAGAGCGATCGCGGCACACCCAGACCCAAGGGATTCTAAACCCCACAATGACCTGCATAAGAGGTGCCTGAACCTCACCAGCTATGCCCCGCAGGAGGAAATCCCTGGGGCAGCCGGGGAAACTGACACAATTCTTCCCTGCCATCACGGCAGGTATCCAAGATGGTGCCGGTGACAGCACCATGAGAGACAGCAGACAGGAGGGGGACTACACAGCCCAGCATAAAGACCACAGGCTGCAATACCCGCTGTATCCAGGGGACCCTGGTGAGTTGTCTCCCCCTCTGTCCCCTACCACAAGCAGCCCGGTCAAGTCTAGACCCAGACCAGACCCTGAACAACAGCCTGCATATCAGGCCCTCAGCCATCCAACACCTCAGACACACACAGACCTCCCTGTCATAGAGGCATTCCCAGCAGCAGACCAACCTATAACCAAGATATGCGTGAAGAATATGCTATTATCACTCAGGCAGACCCTGCATAACGATTTATCATCATCTTTAACCACCTGCCGACCGCAGATAGTCGAATGACGGCTGCACTGCGGCCGGCCAGTTCTGGGTGGACGTCATATGACGTCCCCCCAGAACGCGCTCTCCTGCGCGCCCCAGGGGGCGCGCACCCGGCGATCTCCGTGATCGCTGTGTCCTACGGACACAGCTGATCACGAGATGTGGTAAAAGGCCGATCATACCGGCCTTTTACCACGTGATCAGCGGTGTCCAATGACACGCTGATCACAGGGAAATGCAAGTGCCGGTTCTCGGCTGCACTTTCCTCACGCTGTCAGATCGTGAGGAAAGTACTGCCGAGAACCGGCAGTTGTCAGAGCGGGGATCGGCACCAATCATCCGGGCACTGATGATCAGTGCCCTGATGATCGGTGCCCAGCAGTGAGACCCGCAAGTTCCGCCCAGCAGTGCATCCACTAGCTCCGCCCACCCGTGCCCAGCAGTGCCCCCACCTGTGCCCAGCAGTGCACCCACTTGTGCCACTCTGCAGTGCCACCTACCTGTGCCCAGAAGTGCCACCTACCTGTGCCCAGAAGTGCCACCTACATGTGCCCAGCAGTGCCACCCACCTGTGCCCACCAACCTGTGCCCACCAGTGCCACCCACCTGTGCCCACCAGTGCCACCCACCTGTGCCCACCCACCAGTGCAGCCCAGCAGTGCTGCCAGTCAGTGCCATCAGTCAGTGCCCAGGGGTTGTGCCAGTCAGTGCCACCAGTCAGTGCCCAGGGGTTGTGCCAGTCAGTGCCCAGCAGTGATGCCAGTCAGTGCCGTCTATCAGTACCCATAATCAGTGTCACCTATCAGTGCCGCCTATCAGTGCTGCATATCAGTGCCGCCTATCTGTGACCCCTAATTAGTGCTGTCTATCAGTGCCGCCTATCCGTGCCACCTCAATAAAACTGCCTATCAGTGCCCTTTAGTGCTGCCTATCAGTGCCCATCAGTGCTGCCTATCAGTGCCCATCAGTGCCGCCTATCAGTGCCCATCAGTGCTGCCTCATCAATGCACATCAGTGAAGGAGAAAAAATACCCGTTTGAAAAATTTTATAAAAGAAACAAATAAACTTTTTTTTTTTTTTTTTCAAATTTTTTGCACTTTTTTTTTTATAGCGCAAAAAGTAAAGCGCCCAGTGGCGATTAAATACCACCAAAAGAAAGCTCTATTTGTGAGAAAAAAATGATCAAAATTTCATATGGGTACAATGTTGCATGACTGCGCAATTGTCAATCAAAGTGCGGCAGCGCTGAAAGCTGAAAATTGGCCTGGTAAGGAAGGGGGTATAAGTGCCTGGTAGGCAAGTGGTTAATACAAATCACCACCATGGTCAAACAACAAGAACACAGATTACAACATATTGAATCTAAAATGGGCGACATCCATCACCAGGCTCTGGCGTTCTATTAACATTCCTACTTTGTCCCGACTATTGACCAACCTTAACTTCTTATGCGAGATGGAGAGAAGAACAGCGCTCCACAACTCCTCGTATTATAAATTTGAGACCCAATGGACTCGATGGTTACAGAATCCCAACTGTTCCATAAAATGATTCTACAATATCCTTCCACACTACCTGACTCCGACAACTCGGGTGCCTTTACTTCCCCCCCCCCCTCCCCTTCCCCTCCTTCTACTCCTTCCACTCCCCCTTAAATATACCTCCTAACGTTCCAACTGGTTCACAAAAGGTAGCATACCTCTCATGTAGCTAAAGCAAGACTCTGCATTGTGTCTCGACCGGATGGTGAGGTGCCGTCAGCTAATTCTTTCTACACATATTTTGCTTGTATTAATGTGAACCTCTTTATACCATTGTTTTCAATTGTTTTGTATGTTTCAAAATCTTCTAATAAAAATATTGGAATATAAAATGGGCGACATCATTACAGCGCACAATGATTTGATTGACGCACATACACATCATACGTCGGACATCGAACAAATCAACCTGAAACTAGCTGATCTAGAAGATCGATCAAGACGTAACAATATCAAGTTCAGGGGTATCCCTGAAAGCGTCACTAATGAAGCATTGCTACCCTATATACAACAGTATATAAAACTCCTCATTCCATCCATCTCCGACCTAGAGCATGCTATAGACCAAGCCCACCGACTACCTAAACCCTCATTCCTGTCGGCATCCATCCCAAGAGATGTTCTAGCCCGGATTCACTACTATCATATAAAAGAAAAAGTTATGTCGGCGGCCAGAAATACATCTGCACTCCCGCCATCACATGCAAATATCCAGTTATTCGCAGACCTCTCTAAAACCACGCTACTTAACCACAGGAAGATGATTACCATTACTAAGGCCCTACGAAATCACGGCACATCATATCAGTGGGGTTTCCCCACAAAGCTAACCGTAAAACAACACCATCAAAAACCTCAAAGCAGGCCTAGACATACTCAAAGCTTGGAAAATAATCCCTGAGGACGCACAATAACCCACACCTACCAATCTCCAGAATATGGAGGCTGAATAAGCCTACTGTAACTCACCTCTGCTACAATACCAATGTACCACCTCAGAGTTGTCATCCCACCTCACTAATCTCTGGCGATCGGCCATGTTAAGAAAGTTTTATGTTACAAGGAAATGTTTGGCATGACCTTCTTTACGGTCAAAGCCTGTTCAAACCCACATTATCTGAAGAAGCAAGTCAAGCTACTCGGACCACTTGCATTTTACGCAAGTCTTTTTTTTACCTCCTTCCACCTTCCTTACCATCTCCTCGGCACCACCAGTCGTTCAATCTCGCCTTAATATTTACTTGACTTTGACAAATTTTCGTGGAACTCCCACCTTAATCCAGCAACCGAACCTAAACCGCTTCAGTAATACTGATGGATTCTTCCCTCACAAGGATACACTCGCACAACCTCACATCTTTTCAAGCATCACCTCAAATATTCTGCTCAGCAGTCAAAGACCCATGCTATGATCAACATCACATCTCTCGTGGCTTAAATTCTCCATTCAAAAGATCGATGCTCCAAAAAGAAACTAAAACGTTCCAGGCCGACATCCTTTTTATACAAGAATCCCACTTCGCTACAAACAAGACACCCAAACTCCACCTCAACCGTTTCCCACACATCTTTATGGCTACTAACCTAAAAAAAAAAACGGGGTCATTACAGCTATAAAGGTCTCTATCCAGTTCCGATTCATCTCAGAAACCACTGACCCTCAAGGTCGCTATCACATCCCAATTTGCCAACTAAATAACATCCTCTACACTTTAGTGAATGTCTATGGTCCCAATAAAATCCAGATGAAATTCTACAACAAGCTCTACAACACCATCTCTTCTCTAAAACAAGGCAGAATCCTTATTGGAGGAGACTTCAGTATTATTGTCAATCTGCATCTGGACTCGTCCTTCAACAAAAGATCGCCTAAACAAGCCTTCAACCAATTCCTACACAACCATGACCTCTACGACATCTGGAGATTCCAGCACAGCAACGAGAAAGACTTCACCTATTACTGCCCTTCCCAGCTTTCATACTCCAGAATTGATTTTTTCCTCACAGACAAATGGACACTGCAACACATATTAAGGTCCAAAATTGGTACAATAACATGGTCAGATCATGCTCCAATCCACATCTCATTAGACGACAATTAACGCTCAGCAATCCCGCCTATCTGGAGACTAAACTCTACAATTTTGAATAACCCAGAACACCAGAAACATCTATTAGAAGCACATAATCTATTTTTTGAAACCAACTCTACTCCCAACATGCTTATAACCACAATTTGGCCCACATACAAGGCTTACATGAGAGGTATCCTCATACAATTAAATTCCCGCGTCAAGAAACAAAGGTCCCAACAAACTGAACAACTCCTATCCTCCATTAAACTGAACGAAGAAACTAACAAAAAAAACTCAAACTCCTCCACAGCCACAACCCTGGCCTCCGATAGAAATAAACTACGAATAATTTTATTACACGATTACGACCTTAACCTACAGAGAACTAAATCCAAATTCTATGCACTTGGTAATAAAGCGAATGCACTCCTATCGAAAAAACAAAACAAAAACGACTCAAATCTAAGATCGCCACAATTAAACACCCAACCACACATGCACTCCTTACAAACCCACTAGACATATCCAACGCCTTCACGACATATTACCAAAAAATTATATAATATCAAGGACGATCCTGACACAACCCAACCCACCACCGCTACCATTCAAAACTTCCTAGACACTACCAACTTACCCCGACTCACATCCTCTCAACTTACATTTCTTTCTGTACCAATCTCTCCCACAGAAATAGATCGTAACATAAAAACATCACCTCTGAATAAATCTGCAGGAAATGACGGTTTTACAAACGAATTCTATAAAACACTTGCACCCAACCTCACTCCACATTTATCTGAACTATTTAACCATGTTGCCTCTACAGGTACATTCCCCTCTGAAATGCTACAATCAGTAATCACAACCATCCCTAAACCAAAGATCCCCAACTGGTCCAAAACTACAGTCCGATCTCCCTATTAAACAAGGACATAAAATTATATGCCAAACTAATCGCCCAAAGATTGCTTCCCTACCTCTCCACGCTAATTCATCCAGACCAAGTGGGATTTATCCCTGGTTGACAAGCACCAGATGCAGCTAGGAGAATAATATCCCTTCTTTACAAACTTGAATCCACTAAACAACCCTCACTACTCTTATCTCTAGATGCTGAAAAAGCATTTGATCGAATCCATTGGCTTTTTATGAAACTTGCTCTTCAAAAATTTGAAATTACAGATTGGATGTTATCAGCAATCCTCTCCCTTTATTCCAACCCTTCTGCCACAGTTTTAACTAACGGTACACTCTCACAACCCTTCCAGATATCTAATGGCACCAGACAGGGCTGCCCCTTATCTCCCATAATTTTTACCTTATTAATTGAACCCCTGGCATCCAAACTCAGAGATGACCCAACATTCACAGGTATTACTCATCTTAAAATGGAACATAAAATTAGCCTCTTCGCGGACGATATTATCTACATGGTTACTAATCCTTACAAATCTCTCCAAACGATATGCACTCATCTCCACAACTACTCAGAAGTCTCCTACTATAAGCTTAACGAACCAAAATCCACCATTTTAAACCTATATACTCCCCCTTTCACATGGGAACAACATAGCATCCCTTACTTGGGAATCAAACTCACTACCACAACTAACCAATTACAAGTGAAACTCGAAAAATTAGAATATCATGCAAAAGTTCATTTATTTCAGTAATGCAACTTAAAAGGTGAAACTAATATATGAGATAGACTCATTACATGCAAAGCAAGATAGTTCAAGCCGTGAGTTGTTATAATTGTGATGATTATGGCTTGCAGCTCATGAAAACCCCAAATCCACAATCTCAGAAAATTAGAATATTGTGAAAAGGTGCAATATTCTTAGCTCAAAGTGTCCCACTCTAATCAGCTAATTAAGCCATAACACTTGCAAAGGGTTCCTGAGCCTTTAAATGGTCTCTCAGTCTGGTTCAGTAGGAATCACAATCATGGGAAAGACTACTGACCTAACAGTTGTGCAGAAAACCATCACTGACACCCTCCATAAGGAGGGAAAGCCTCAAAATGTAATTGCAAAAGAAGCTGGATGTTCCCAAAGTGCTGTATCAAAGCACATTAATAGAAAGTTATGTGGAAGAGAAAAGTGTGGAAGAAAAAGGTGCACAAGCAGCAGGGATGACCGCAGCCTGGAGAGGATTGTCAGGAAAAGGCCATTCAAAAGTGTTGGGGACTTTCGGAAGGAGTGGAC